CAGCACGACCACACCCCAGCACGACCCCACCCCAGCACGACCCCCACGACCCCAGCAAGACCACACCCCAGCACGACCACACCCCAGCACGACCTCACCACAGCACGACCACACCCCAGCACGACCACGCCCCAGCACGACCACGCCCCAGCACGACCACGCCCCAGCACGACCACCCCCCAGCACGACCACCCCCCAGCACGACCACCCCCCAGCACGACCACCCCCCAGCACGACCACACCCCAGCACGACGACCACACCCCAGCACGACCACACCCCAGCACGACCACACCCAGTCGCACCCCCGTGGAATGTTTCGTGGGGTGTCTGGTTGAGTGGTTGCCTGTTCGTGGGGTGTCTCGTGGAATGTTTCACGGGGTGTCTCGTGGAATGTTTCGTGAGGTGTCTCGTGGAATGTTTCGTGAGGTGTCTCGTGGGATGTTTCGCGGGGTGTCTCGTGGGATGTTTCGTGAGGTGTCGCCCAGTTGGGTATCGTGAAAACGTGACCATGCTGCACATGTCTATATCCTTTCCGGGTTCGTGGGTCCATCATGTTCTGCTCTGGAGGAGGACTGGCGCCTTTGGGCAGCTTCCGCGAGGTGGATTCGTAGCGTGGGGGGTGAGCGCGAATTTGGTATAATCTGCCGGGGATCGTGGCCTCGGGGACGCGACTTTGGCGTAATTTACACAGGATCGTGGCCCGGGGGGCGCGACAGCGGCGTAATTTACGAGGGATCGTTGCCTCTGGGGCGCGAATGTGGTGTAATTCACGCGGGATCGTGGCCTCGGGGGCGCAAATGTGGCGTAATTTACGAGGGATCGTGGCGTGGGGGGGGTGGATGTGGAACCCACCGCCGAATTTCCTAGAAACGGGGGGGGCAAAAGAATACCAGCGGAACACATCGAAACCAATTGCCCTAGCCAGCCCAACCAGCCAACCCAACCAACCAGCCACCCAAACAACTCAACCGGCTCAACCAGCCCAACCAGCCACCCCGCAACCCCAGCCAACCCGCCACCCCGCCAGCCCGCCCACCCCCGCCGCCTGCCCTCCGTCACCGTCGAGAGGGGGGGGGGAAATGTTTCTTACAAACGAAAACCGCGAAAATCACCCTCCCGGGGTCCGGCGGGACGGCGGGGGGAGGGGAAATCGCGCCGTACTATGCGGGAGCGGGATTCGCGCCCGAAGTGCCCAAAGATAATTTGGGGCCTCAAATGCGACACTGTCGTCACTTTATTACCTTTCACCGCGCTCCCCTTCTCAACGGAAAGGCTCCCATCCGTGAAACTGTCGTCATTTTTCAGCTCCCGCGAGAGGCTTCTTAGAGGCCCCCAGAGGCTCCAGGAGGGCCCATGGCGGCCTCGGGAGTGCCTAGGAGACCTCCAGAGGGCCACAGGAGGACCCACTCTGCACCGCGCCCCCCTTCTCAACGGAAAGGCCCCCATGCGTGAAATTGTTTTCATCATTCCGCCCCCGCGAGAGAATTCTTAGAGGGCCCACGGAGGCTCCAGGAGGGCCCATGGCGGCCCAGGGGAGAGCAAACGAGAACTCAAGAGCCCCCCCGAGGACCCACTTTGAATTACACTCAGGGAGCTCCAGAGGGCCCAGGAGGCTCCAAGAGGCCCCAAGAGGCCCCGAAGACCCCAAACAGGCCACAGGACCCCCAGCACGCTCTAGGAGAGCCACGGCGACACCAAGAGGCTCCAGGATGGGCGTCATTCCCTCTCCTCCTCCTGCTCGTCGTCGTCATCCTCCTCCTCATCCGTCCTGCTTCAAATCCTTCCTCCCCCTCTTCCTCCTTCTCCTCCTCTTTCTCCTCTTCCTCCGCCTCCTCCTCTTCCTCCTCCTCCTCCTCCTCCTCCTCCTCCTCCTCCTACCTCATCCGAGCCTCGATGGCTCCGATAGCGCCGTGCGCGAGATCCGCCTCCTCCCCATCCGTCCTCCTCCCTCCTCCCTCCTCCTTCCCTCCTCCCTCCTCCCTCCTCCCCTCTCTCAGGAGCGTCACAAAGAGGCCCTCCGAGGAGAATTTCACGACAACAAGGGCGTCGACCCGATGAACAGACACCACGTCGGGGCTCTGGGAAAGGAGTCGAAGACGAAACCTCGAATAACTTAGTTTTCGATGTTCGGGGCATTTTTCTGACCACCTGCGAGCCTGGTGGAAACTTCCGAGAGCCTCAGGGGTGGACGTCTGGCGCAAGAACACGAGTGGAGGAGGAGACAACACGACGCTTGGTTTCTACCCCCGTGAGGGGCGTTACAGGGTATCCCAAAACAGAAAATTATAGTTTTTCTGCTTTGGAGAGGGGGAGCGCCTTTTCGGCAGCCTCCGCAAGGCGGATTCGTGGCCTCGGGGGCGCGCCCGCTGCGTAATGTACAAGGGATCGTGGCGTCAGGGGCGCGAACTTGTCGCAATTTACAAGGAGATCGTGGCCTCGGGGGCGCGCAAATTATGTAAATCAGGTGGGGTCGTGGCTCCGGGGGCGCGAGCGTGGTGTGAATTACAAGGGATCGTAGCCTCGAGGGCGCGAACGCGAAGTAATTTACAAAGGATCGTGGCCTCGGAGACACACATGTGGAGTAATTACAAGGGGTCGTGGCCTCGGAGACGCGAAAATTGTATTATGTGCAAGGGATCGTGGCCTCGGGGGCGCGAATACAGCGTAATTTGCGGGGGATTATGGCTTGGGGGCCACGAAACTCAAATATTTGTACATGTCCCACGCCCCCCCAGAAATTTTGAGAACCCTCTCAGGGGACGCTAACCAGGGCCCTTTTCGGCTCCCCCCTCGCGCGGACAGTAACAATTTACAGTAGGAAGCAGAAAACAATATTGTAACAATGGAAACTGGAAACTGGAACTGGTGCAGGGAGCAGCAACCTTAATCCTCGCAGCCTGATGGCCCCGCAAGGGGCCGGAAGATTGTTACTGACCGCGCGAGGGGGGGAGCCGAAAAGGGCCCCGGTTAGCATCCCCTGAGAGGGTTCTCAGAATTTCTGGGGGGGCATGGGACATGTAAAAATACTTGAGTTTCGTACCCCCCAAGCCATAATTTTCGCAAATTGCATTGTATTCGCGCCCCCGAGGCCACGATCCCTTGCAAATAACACCATATTCGCGTCTCCGGGGCCACGACCCCTTTGGAATTTACTCCACATTTGCGTCTCCGAGGCCACGATCCCTTGAAAATTACTCCGCGTTCGCGCCCTCGAGGCTACGATCCCTTGTAATTTACACCACGCTCGCGCCCCCGGAGCCACGACCCCACCTGATTTACATAATTTTCGCGCCCCCGATGCCACGATCCCTTTGTAAATTACGACAAGTTCGCGCCCCTGACGCCACGATCCCTTGTAAATTACGCAGCGGGCGCGCCCCCGAGGCCACGAATCCGCCTTGCGGAGGCTGCCGAAAAGGCGCTCCCCCTCTCCAAAGCAGAAGAACGGTAATTTTCTGTATTGGGATATGTGCTCCGCTGGTATTATTTTGCCCCCCCCCCCCCCCCTCGTTTCTGGAAAATTCGGTGGTGGGTTCCACATTCACCCCCCCAGGCCACGATCCCTCGTAAGTTACACCACATTTGCGCCCCCGAGGCCACCATCCCGAGTAAATTACGCCACGTTCGCGCCCCCGAGGCAACGATCCCGCGTAAATTACGCCGCTGTCGCGCCCCCCAGGCCACGATCCTTTGTAAATTACGCCACGTTCGCGTCCCCGAGGCCACTATCCCCCGCAAATTACACCAAATTCGCGCGCCCCCCCCACGCTACGAATCCACCTCGCGGAAGCTGCCCAGAGGCGCCACTCCTTCTCCAGAGAAGAACAAATAACCTTCCCAGAGATTGCCTGAAGCAATCCCCAGCCGTTCCCAGAGCGCTTCCAGTGAACAACTGGAGGAAAATGTCAAGAAGGCAACAAAGCGTTCAACAACACTTTCAACATCTCAATCTGTTTTGCCCATCGCCAGCCGCCCTAGCATGACGTTCCCGAATGTCACCAAGACGGCGCCCGAACATCCCAATCTAGCTCCGATGTATCCCATTATGACAGAGAGGGGGCCGGCGGCAGGGGGCGAAGCCCTTACGGATAATGTTTTGTCTCGAGTGCCGCTGCCGCGGCGCGGCCCGCAATCTGTCCGAACGCGTCGGCGGCCGCCCTCGCCGCTGACCAGACAACATATTCTACGAGACTGTTCTTAATTCTATCGGCGATAACCCGGGTTATAATGAAGGGGCCCTGGGACACACAAATAAATACACACAAATAAACATATTCCCCATATTTTCTATGTTTTTGTCTTCCCCCCCCACTTCCAATATTTTCCTATATTTTCCCGGGAGTGGACGATTAATTGTGTCTGTGTGTTTCTTCCCCTCCTGATATAAGGTTTGGGGGGGAGGTTGCAGCCGATAACCTGACCTCTTCGCTTTGGGCGGCCCCACGCATGCCCGCGCGCACCAGCACCGCGTACCCACTCGGACCTGCACAACCGACACCGGCAAGGCCAGGGCATCCATGCGGGGAGGGGGGGGGGGACAGACGGGCCGACGACTCCGGTGACGGCCGGGTCTCAAGGAAGAACAAGATCTGCTCTCCCCCCACCCCGAAGCGGCCGCAGAAGACACGCGGAGCCCGGGTCTTCGGGGGCCTCTCGAGCTGGATCTGATTCGGCCCAGGCGGGCTCGGTGAGGACCAGGTTCCTTTCATCTGAGGAGGGCGGGTCTGATGTCGCGAGTCGCTCCGGGGGAGGGGAGGGCGGGAGAAACGGCTTTCCCGCCCCCGCGTCTTTCTTCCCCCCTGTCTTCCGCCTCCCTCGGCCCCTCGCCCGGCGACCGAGGCCCGAAGGGAGGGGAAGGCGTACCCGCCGGCGGGGCGGCGGCCTCCTCGGCGGCTTGAGCTCCTCCTCCTCCCTCCTCCTCCCTCCTCCCTCCTCCTCCTCCTCCTCCTCCTCCTCCTCCTCCTCCTCCTCCTCCTCCCGGAGGGAGGGCCCCGAGGTCCCACACGCGCAGGGCCCCGTCGGCGCCGCCGGCGAGCGCGAAGGAGCTCGGGCAGCCGCAGGCCACGGCATCGACCGCGGAGCCGCGCAGGGGCCCGGCGGGGGCCCTCGGGTCGAGCACCTCGGGCAAGGGAAAGCCTCGGCCAGGCGAAGCTTGGCCACGAAGTCTCCTGCTCCTCCTCCTCCTCCTCCTCCTCCTCATCCTCCTCCTCCTCCTCCTTCTCCTCCTCCTCCTCCTCCTTCTCCTCCTCCTCCTCCTCTTCCCCCTCCTTCTCCTCGGGTCGAGCACCTCGGACAAGGGAAAGATGAAGGGGCCCCAAGACACACAAATAAATACACACAGATAAAAAGATTCCCCATATTTTCCCATATTTGCCGGTGTTCTGTCTTCCCCCCCACTTCCCATATTTTCCCGTACTTTCTAGCGAATCGAGGATTAATTGTGTCTGTGTGTTTTTTTCCTCTCCTGAAAAGACTCGGCCAGGCGAAGCTTGGCCAGGCTGAACTCGGCCAGGGCCGACTTCAGCCTGGCCGAATTCAGTCTGGCCGACAGCCAGCCGAGCTCAGCCTGGCCGAGTACAGCTGGCCGAGTTCAGCCCGGCCGATTGTTTCTGGGCCAGGTCTGATTGCCGTCCCTCGTAGGGACAAGACCTATTGAAGCTTGGCCATGGATACCACCGCGGCCCTCATCTGATAAGGAATCATCCGGGTCTGAAGCCTCCTAGGCCCATCCCTTAACGAACGCTCCCGCCGAAGGGGGGGCCGGCTCAGGGTGGGAAACATCAAGCTCGAATCGGCGATATGTCGGCGGTAGGCCCCTGATTGCGAGACCGCACGTTCTTGATCTGGGGTAGGCCATCAGGCGCCTCTCGGCGATGAGCAGGCGTGGGGGGTCGATACACTCCCCCCTGAGCCTATCCCCCCTGGCTTTCGCGTCATCACTCGGCTCTCTGGTGGCCGTCCGGGGAGATGTGGGGACCCCCAGAACGCCCTCGGCGAGGCGCAGCCGCTGAAGGCATCCGAAGGCCGGAAAGCCGCCGAAGACTGCCTCGAGCCATCCCCATTGAGCCTATGTCCCCCTACCGTTGCCCCTGAACCTCGCGGCCGCTCGCCAGCCTAAGCCGCCCCGGCGCCACGCCCAGAGCCTCGGCCGCGAGGCGCTTCAGGTCGAGCACCGTCTGGCCATCCCGGACGCGGATCGCCACCTCGTCGCCCCCGAGGGTCCTCGCCGCGAGGCCACACGATCACCGGAGCAGTGCTCGAGTCGTGAGTCTCGGGGTCCTCGATGCGAGGTTGCTCGGGCGTTCTGAGAGGGTTCCCAGGGCAGTGCTTGCGCTGAGGGGGTCCTACTTGGTTCGAACTTGATTGGAAATAGAACCCGCGAGTTCTCGCTCCTGCCCTGGTGCCCCGCGACTGGTGCTACATGGCTGGTGCCCTGCGATGTCTTTGTAGGTTACTAGCTATCGTTCTTTAATTTGTACCCTGTGGGTGGCACTATATGACAACTGCACACTGCGTCCTTGACGGTCGCGAGTAATGCTTATGGTCCTAGTGCTCTATGGGTGGTGCTACATGGCTGCTGCCCTATGGTGCCTTGAAGGTCGGGAGTTCTCCTCATCGCGGTGGTGCCCTATGGGTGTTGATTTATGGTTGCTGCCCGATGGTGGATTGGAGTGATTGCCAAGAATCGTTATTGCCGTGGTGCCCGATGGTTGATGCTCTACAGCTGCTGCCAACAACTGTGTTATGGTCAGTACTACGTGATGTATTTGATAGCTGCGATGAATCGATCTTGCGTTGGTGACCTGTGGTTGGTGCTCTCTCTGACTGGTGCCCCGAGATACCTTCGAAAACTGCAATATCACGTTATTGCAGTGGTGTTTCGTCGGTGGTGCTGTTTTGCTGGTGCCCTATTGTGTCTGTGATGGCTGCGACATGCTGTTGATACCTTGGTGTCGTGTTCGTGTGGTGTTCTATGGCTGGTGTCACGTGATCGGTTTAAGGGTTGCGATGGATCGTACTTGGTCTGGTGTCCTACGGGGGGTGCTTTTATGGCTGGTTCCATATGATACGTTTGATGGTTGTGAATTATCGTTGTTGCCCCTGTGCCATGTGGTGCTCTATGTATTATGTCTGATGGTTGCGTGTCGTAGTGTTTTGCCCAGGTGGCCGATGGTTGGCGCCGTATGGCATCTGCACTACGCTACCCTGAAGCTCGCGAGTTATCGTTAGTGTCATGGTGCTCTATGATTGGTGTGTTCATGGTTGCTGCCCCATTGTGCCTTGAAGGTCGCGAGTTCTCGTTCTTGCATGGGCGCCTTTGGGTTGTGCTCGATGGCTGATGGCGAATGTTGCATTTGATGGCTGCGAGTAATTGCTTGAAAGCCCCATGATTGGTGCTCTATGGCTGGTGCTCTATTGTGTCGTTGATGGTCGCGACGTATCCGTATTTTTCTCTCCCCGCAGCAAGGCGCGCAGCGCACCTCAACATTCCAAAATTTCCGGCGCTTCTCGACGGTTCAGTCGGACGTATTTGGTCGCCTCGTCGCAGATCGGCACCAGATGCGAAGGTCGCCGAATACTGGCAAATCACCCTGTCGCTCCTGGGCGCAGCTCGTGACCTCGCCAAGAGGCGTCCACTTCGGCCCAAAATGGTCCAAGATGACCACCGGGATGCAACCAGAGGCCCCAAGATGCACCCAAGGTCACCTAAGTTGGCCCCACAAGGCAGCAAAATGGCCCCGAGAGGCCCCCAAGGTGTTACCAAGACGGCCCTGAGGGTCCTCGCCGTGAGGCTCCAAACGGACGGATGGGGCAGGAGAGGGACGAGGGGAAGGGAGGGGAGGGGAAGGGCAGAGGAGGGAGAATGGTAGGTGCAAGGGGAACTGAAGGGAAGGGGAAGTGGAAAGCAAGAGAGAGGGGATAGAGAATAGGGAAAGTATAGAAAGAAAGCCCCGCTCAATCAGCGTCGAATCGGGAAATCCGATCGGATCGGAGCATACATCAAAGCGGCTGGGCCAGGGGAGACAAAAGCACCATGCAAGCATCGGGCCGCATCATATCAACGCAAGACCGGAATCGAATCGGATCGAGCCAGCCGAAATCGGTATCGAATAGAATCGATCGGATCGAAATGGTCACTGAGCCATCGGGGGATGGATAGGGGGAGAGGGGAGAAGCAGCAGCAGGAGTCGATAGAGGGTGTGCACCTGGCCCAGGTGGCACCAGGTGGCACCAGGGCAGGCTCCAGCTGCCCTGGCTGGGCTGTCAGTCACGGGAGGGCCTCAGGGCGATCGCCCCCTTGGAATCAGAATCAGAAGGCGGGATGTCACGCAGAGAGAGACGCTAAGAAAGACGCACTGCCCGCTGACACGAGCTGCGCCACCGGAGCACCCGGCCCTAATGGAATCAGAATCAGCAAGCGAGAATTACCGCAGGATGCGTGAATACAAAGACGCCATGCTGAGAAACACGCTAAGAAAAACGCACTGCCCGCTGGTACGATTTGTATCACTGAAGCACGCGGCCCACATTGAAATCATCATCAGAAAGCGAGACATCACCGCAGGAAGCGTGAACACAAGCACGCCATGCTGAAAAAGACGCCATGGAAAAGTGACTGCCCGCTGGCACGAGCTGCACCACTGGAGCAAACGGCTCCCTTGGAACGGTGGCACCCGGAGGCCTTTTGTGCTGCTCTATGTGGCCTCGAGGCCACCGAGGCCCCAGGCGGTGGCCTGACTGGGAGGAGTTGGATCGAGCGAGCGAGCGATCTGTCGGCCCAAGTTCGGGACCACTTCGCGTCTGCTACCATAAAACAGGGCTAGGATCGGGATAAATCGCTCCAGAGCGTTCCGGAGCGCTCTCTTCCGGAACGCTCTGGAGCGGCCGCGGCGCCCAATACATCCTCCAAACGCGCCGATTCTCAGAGATTTCGAGTTATCCCGATCCGATTTTGTCCCGATCTTCGCGTCGTTTTAGGGACATCTTGAGCCCACGCACCGGATACGCATGCGGCGGCCCGGTGCACCTAACCATAGCAGGGCCGAGCGCCGGAGAGACACCTGGCCACGCGCGTGCCCAGCTCTCGCCAAGGCCGGCCGCGTCACGTGTATTCAGATTCGTGGTACAGTCGGGGCGTTGACCTAAGGAACCCTAAATAAGGAACGAGGCCCCTTCCCCCCATAAGTTGAACCTCCATTTCCCATGGGAAACCTCAGGAAACCCGAAGGCAAACTGCAGAACAATCAAGGAACACCGAGCCCCTCCCCAACGAAAAGGGTTCCTTCTTCAGGGCCCCGACTGTAGAGCGGCAAGGCATGAAAAGCTGGCACGGCCAAATTGAGGTCACATCGTTGGGGAATCGCTGGCGCTGCATGGCGGCGGAGGAGTCGAGTGAGCGCGCCCGGATGCAAACATTTCCGCTCGCCGCACAGGGCGCCTCTCGACCAGCCCGATTGGGCCTTCGGGCGGCATCAGCGACGCCATTGACGGATACCCGTGCGCGAGCACCAAAATTAGCCTGGCGAAGGACCCAACCATTTGCAATTGAGAATACCGCAATTGTCGGAGGTGAGGGGGTGAGATCGAAATGGAACGGAGAGCCCCCCTACAGGGAAATCGGTTTCGGTTTCGTGTTCGTGCGTGCCGTGCGTGCGGGCGAGGCGAAGCTGCGTGGGCGGGCGAAAGGAAAATCTCCTGTGGCTGAGGCGCGGCCGGACCAAATGTCTCCCTTCCGGCGTCCGGTGGCGCGCGGTGTCCCGCCGGTGTCCCGCTGTGGCTGAGGCGCGGCCGGACCAAATGTCTCCCATCCGGCGTCCGGAGGCGCGCGGTGACCCACCGGTGTCCCGCCAGTGTCCCGTCGGTGTCCTGATGATGATAATGATAATGATAATGATAATGATGGTGATGATGATGATGATGATGATGATGATGATGATGATGATGATGTCGATGATGTTGAAGATGATGATGATGATGATGATGATGTTGATGGTGATGGTGGTGATGACGATGGTGTCCCGATGATGATGATTCTGATGATGATGATGCTGATGTTGACGATGTTGATGATGATGATGGTGATGATGATGGCCATAGTGGTGATGATGGTGGTGTCCCGATGAAGATGATGATGTTGATAATGCCGATGTTGATGATGATGTTATCCCGATGATGATGCTGCTGATGTTGATGATCATGATAATGTTGTTGATGATGATATGATGAGGTGGTGATGATGATGCTGATGGTGATGATTAAAGTGATGATGATGATGATGGTGTCCCGATGATAATGGTGCTGATGAGGTTGATGATGATGCTGCTGATGAAGATGGTGATGATGATGGTGTCCTTATGATGATTATGATGTTGATGGTGATGATGATGACAATGATGGGGTCCCGAGGATGATGATACTGACGATGAAGGTGATGAGGTGACGATGATGATTTTGATGATGGTGGCCCGATGGTGATGATGATGATGTCCCGATGATGATGATGGTGGTGATGATGGTGACGATGATGATGGTGTCCCGATGAGGATGCTGCAAATGATGGTGACGATGATGATGTTGTCCCGATGATGGTGATGATGATAATAATGATGTTGCTGATGATGTTGCTGATGATGATGATGGCGATGGTGTCCCGATCATGGTGTTGTTGGTGAGGTTGTTCATGCCGAAGGTGATGAGATGCTGATGGTGTGGGTGGTGTTCCGATGATGACGATGACGGTGGTTTCCCGATGATGATGATGTTGATGATGGTGATGGTGACGACGATGGTGCCCCGATGATGATGTTTATGATGGTGATGATGATGATGATGCTGATTATGATGGTGGTGAGGTGGTGATGATGATGATGTCCCGGTGAGGATGCTGGTGATGATGATGATGATGATGGTGTTGATGACGTTGATGACGATGATGTTGATGATGACGACGTTGATTGTGAGATCGATTGTGGTATCGATTTTGGGATCGAAAGTGGGACCGAATGTAAAATCGATTGTGATTTCGATAGTGAGATCGATTGTGGGATCGATAGTCAGGTCGATTGTGAGATCGATCGAATGAAATAGATCGAATGATACCGATTGTGAGATCCATCGAGTGAGATCGATCGAGCGAGACCGATGGTGAAATCGATAGTGAGATCGATAGTGAGATCGATAGTGAGACCGATCGAATGAGACGTTGGTTCCTCCCCCCCGAA